GCTCAGACTGTACTTGTTAGTGGGATAAATTCATTGTTGGTTTTGGTGTTTTTTATTGGGTTTGTTGATAAGATAAAATAATGTCAGTGTTATCCTTTAATCTTATGCTTGTGAGCATCTGTGTGGAAGATAAAGACAGAAAGAGAGAGTCGTTTGTGCCTGTATGTGTAAGCGTTCTGTATGTGTAGGTGTGCTTGTGTGTTACAGTACAGTATGTGTCTGCTCCCATTTCCACACTGCTGGCTCCTTAACGCACTTTAATCCCTTTACTTTTCCCTTAAAGTTTGCCTAGATTTGCATATATCCAATTAAAGCTCTGAACAGCAGCAGCAGAGTCACGCACAGTTCTGCGCTCAATCACTGTAATACATCTGCTCTCACATTAATGCACGTTGGCTCTAAACTATGAGGGTCCATACAGGTCATAATTCAAACTTAAACTCACTCAGTGAAAGCTCACACACACACACACACACATTCACATACTAGTGAAAGCACACACATCATTTATGCTACATACACATACCACACACCTGATTGAAAGAATGCACACAAACAACTATAGCACAAATTTCATCTTGTGCGAGTATGTATGTACGAGCTATTTTCGTATGATGTGTTCCCACAACCTCAACTGTAGTTTGTGTTTAGTGCTAATTAATGAGTGTTAGCATGCTAACACGCTAAAGTAAGGAATCGAGGAAATGTATCATTGTACAACGCAAGGTTGTATTACAAAATGAAAGTTTTCAGTCCCTTCATGCTATGCACAAAAAACAAAACACTTGAAATCAAACAATATATACAATTATTCATATACATATATACATATATGCTATTTGTAACTATAGATGCAGGAAATAATTCTGCAGTGCATTTTTTGAATTTGCATGTGGGCAAATGTAAACAGGCAGCCACAGGATAGAGATGATAATATGGTTTCATTTCTAAAAAGCAACAGTGTCCATCCACTTTGACTGTGCACAAAGCATCATCGCTGTAAATACATAGTCTGCCTCCTCTAGTCCTGCAATGGTGAACACGATAAACATATATGTCCTTTTAGCACTGTCATTGTTGTATATTCATATTTTGAGAGAGAATGTCAAAAGTTGTCATCTTGTCTGCTTTTCCGCAATCTCTAAAGCACTTTGTGATCTAAATAAAGTTTATTTTTTGCCTAACTGTGATAAGATCCTGTTAGCTGGATTGTATCCACCTGGCTGCAGCTGCAGCTTCGGTGAAGAGCACTTTTGTTGGTGTAAGCACTGAATTTGCGTGGCTGTGTACCTTTTTCAGTGACCGCAGCTTTCAGCTGACACCGCTTCCTTCCTCATTATCTCATCTACTGTAGGGGAACCGGCAGCCATGCCTGTTTCCATAAGGCTGCACAGCTGACTAAATATGTTCACTGTCCAAAGACAGATCGATAGGCTCTTGTTTTGCAGGTGTATTTATGTGTGTGGATGCTAGGTTGTGCAGGATGTGTTTCTGAACCAGGTAGCGAGAGAAAGAAGGAGTGTAATGGGTCATGGGTCTGTGACTACAAAACTGCAAAAACTTTCATGAAGTGGTTGTAGTTTGACAGCACTAAAAGCTTTCATATTTTCCAACCAAGACAGTTTGAACAGTATTTTCTCCACTACTTACTGCGCAAGTTTGATCATGTCTGTCTTGTACAGAGATGCTTTTCGGTGCTGTTGGTCACTTTTTCTTTGAAATTTCTGGCAGTCATTCATATTTAAACAGAATCCTTGACAGGGCTCTTTTTTTAAATTCTGTGATCAGAGAGAGTTTGGATATTTAAGATCCAGTCAATTTTCTATTGCAAGTAATTTAGTTTCATTATTTATTTTAAAGCGCTGTGGAAGCTACAGTAGATACAGTACATGTCATATCTTTATTACATTTTCTGCCAAAGCCAGTGGAAACTCAAAATCTTAAAATTACTTACTGGTTAGATAGGTGTTAGTTGACATTAGTGTCAATAGCCGCTCCATTAACTTAAAACTTAAAAGAAATGAAATCAAAGAAACTCCCCGATGCTGAATATAATGTCCTCAACAAGTAGTTGAAGTAGTTGTAGTGGTCCTACAGAACTGTATTATATTATGTACAGAAATAGTCTGTACCGCCTCACAATGTTTCATGTCACATTATCTTGACAAACTGCGTTTAGTGTAGAGTATTTTACAGATCTGCACATCCAACACGTCTTCTGCTGTACTGTTTTCGTACCGTGGTGTGACTCTGCTGAAGTTTGACGAAGTCATACTTTCTCTTGTAATAAAAACAGACACACTTGATTGCCTTTTTCTCAAATAAAGTGCTACCTTGATCCCAACTGAAAGCAGAGCACTCTGAAGCTGAGCTGTACTTTGTCATAGCAGACAACAAATATATGTCTCCCGTCTTTACTGTTTTTTGTAGCATAAGGTTCTTTTTTGGCTGTTCTTGTCTGGTTTTATTTATGCCTTATTATTTCAGGCAGCAGATTTGAGGATTTATATGGAGACTGATCAAGCCAGGCTGGTTCAACACGCAGAACAGCAATGCAATGCAACACCGACTTGCAATCTCACAGATTTTAATTGTATAATAAATATGCAAGAATATCACTGTCATTCACACAATGGCCCTGTGTGGGAAAAAAAAGATACAGAAAAAGATACAGAAACTAGATTAATACATACAGCAGGCTTGTTGTTGTTCCATCAGTATGTCTGAAATCACTCCATATTTACTATATACTGCACTATATTTACTGCCCACAACTTTTTTATACTGTATAGTGCCCTCAAAAATCCAGTTGAACAACAAACATCCTCACAATGCCATGCTCCTTATGTTTCACAGCAAAAATTACAGCTGTCAGTAATGATGCAAAATAATGATGATTAGTAGGTGTTTGAAATCCCAGTTTAGTGCTCACTATTGAGTACCGTTTATTATGTTGTAAATAGCCAATGAGTGAACAATTGATACATTTTTAACAATGAGGGACGCACACTGTCTCACTTACTGCTGACATTTTTTTTATTTTATTATATTTACAATGTCAGTGTGACCCTCATTAGCTATCTGTCAATATTTTTATATATAGGTTGGAGGAAGGTGCAACTCTAAAACAATGAGGGACTCCCGCAGACTGTGTATATATTTATATGTTATTTATGTTATGCTAATAAACTTACAATGATAAAGCTTGCTTGTTGATGTTAGACAGGAGTAATGTCTTTTGTTTTCACTGTTAGTTTAGCGTGTTAACATGCTAATATTAAATAATTAGCACTTAACACGAAGTACAACTGATGCTGATGGGAATGTAATTAGTTTTACAGATATTCTGTCATAAACCAAAATATTGGATAAACTGAAACTTTGACCTAATAGTGGCGCTAGATGAAAGTTTGGAGGGTGGAAGTTATTACAATTCATCCTCTGGGGACCATGAATGTGTGTACCATATTTCACAGAAATTCATCCAGTAGTTGAGATATTTCAATGAACAGCAAAAATGTCAACCTCATGGTGGCGCCAGAGGAAAAAGTCAGAGGATCTCCAGAGTCAGCAGGATTCATCCTCTGGGGACCATGAATGTCCGTACAAAATTTCATGACAACCACATAGTTGTTGGGATATTTCAGTATAGACCAAATTAGTGGACCGACATTGCCACCCCCAGAGCTATTCTGCAAACAAGTCTGGCAAGAAAATGCAAGAGGAAATAAATGCAAAAAGCACTATTGTGGCAGTCTTGAAGCCAACATTTATGTAGTAAGTGCTTGGATGACATCATGACAGAAGCAGATTCAGCACAAATAATGCTTGAAAGCAACCATCCCTAAAGATGTGTGATTAAATGAACGCACTGCATGTCTCAGATAATATGTGTGTTTTTGCGTGTGAGTCTGAACAACTTGTGCAGATAAATTGGGTGACTTCCCCTTGCGAGACATCGCTGCCTTATAGCGCTGAATTCTGTATTGTTTGGTTGAATGGCTCTGCCGTCGTTTCGCTGAGAGCACTGACATGCTTCACAACGCAATTGGGCTCTTTCATTCTTCCTGTCTTCAACACTCTGTCTCTTTCCCAACCACACTCAATTCATACAAGCACCCACTAACACACGCACACACATATCTTCATAGAAATGGCAGAAATTGCAACTACGAAAAGTAGGACAGTCCCATCGAAATCAGTTAGTCACCAGATAATTTTTTTAGCATCTTGGTGGGTGAAAGTATTCCAATTGATCTATTTTTTTATAGTTGTTTTTATGGGCAATGATCTGTCTTGACTGTAAAATGACCCCATCTCTGTCATCAATATTCCTTTGCATCTTATAAGTGCTAAATTGGAAGATTCCTCTGGAGAAGTTCATTCACATGTGCAGGGTAAACAATCCTGTAACCCATACTGACAAATAAATTCTATAAATTGATAAGTGGAAACAATTCTGTGACTATTAACTGTAGCGCTACCAGTACCAGTGTAAAGGCTTGTCACACTAGCACCACTCTGCTAATATTTCCTCCACGTCACAGTGATTTTCATTGAAGCCTGTGCAGCTAACCACTGAAAGAATGCACTTCTAGTTCCACTCCACCCGTATGCTTGCATGGCCATCGAACAGAAACGATATTTTCGTGTACAACAAAATTCGACATACAAACTGCAGCACTGTCATGGAGAGGGGCATTTCATGGCTCCGACCAAGCTTTTAGATGTACAGAATCTAATCTGAGAGGCTGTTTGAAAGCCAAACACTTTAGTTCTACCTGAGTATCCCTGCAGTGTTTCAGTTTTGCCCAAATAAGTTTTTTCCATTTGTGAGATGGTTTTTCAAACTCTCCCAGGGAGCAAAATCAGCTTTTTCTCTTTTTCCTTTTAGTTTTGTGTGCTTTGTCTCTTCGTGGCTTTACAGTGATCGTTTATATGCAGCTGTGAACGCTGTTTGGCTCAGTTCCACACTAAAAGCACACCTGGCCCCTCTGCAGGTTTTTGGGAGTCCCTCCAGGAAGAGGAAGCTGCCCTCTGACCGGACCTCTGCCCTTTGACCTCATCTACACCGACTACCACGGCTTGCAGCAAATGAAGCAGCACATGGGTCTGTCACTGAGGAAACACAAGTGAGTCTTTTGTTCTCTCTGTCACTTTCTATGTGTGTATCTCTTCAAAAACTGTCATTTTTGTTTCTTTGCCAAGCTCTAAGAGCAGTGTTTGTTTGTTACCAGTAATTGCCTTTCTGATGAAACACTTCACTATTGGCTTATTGACTTGCTGGTGTAACAGGCTGGTAACTTTACTGTGCATCAGCAGAAATCTCCCTTTGGGGGGGATCCAATTTGGCCTCTTTACACAGTGATCAATCAACCAGGTTCAGGCTTCTGGGTTGATGTCACTTCCTTTTTGCAGCATCTCAAACTCTGCTATTTATATGCATCGCACAGAAAGGTTTGACTAGCTTGTCTGCTTAAAATTAATGAGTTAGCCTGTACACAAGTGCATAGCTATGTACTATGATAAAATGCAGCATTTATACAAGCTCAAACAACATCACACACAGTTCGGAGCGGGTCCAAGCTCTGTTCTTCCTGTAAATCCAGTTGGTAAAGTTTTTGCACTGTTGTTCCAGCTGGGCAGCACCGGAGCTGTCACAGTATAAAAGCAAATCCTTTTTTTTTTTCGCAGAGTTTACCGCAACTCTTGGAAGAAAACATATTTATGAAAAAGGAAAAGGGTAAAAGGGAAAAAAAAAACGTTATAGCAGCATGAAAATAATGATAATCATGTGGGGTGTGAGATTATATTGTGAAGCCTTATTGCAGTTTGTTTTCATTCCACTGTTCACACTGAATGCTTAAGAGGAGAAGCTGCTACATTCATTAAATAACTCAGCAGCAGACGCACACATTTCACGATAATTCATCCTGATTCTCCTGCATTTTGGATTCTCTAAAACAAGGTCAGCTGATCGACCGGCACTCCTCAGCTGTCACAAAGTGACAGACCAATACTTTAATTTCCTCTCCTGCCATGACACTGATTAGAGATGCAGGGCATTGATACATCTTCTCAGATTGGATTACATCAATTGATTTTTGACTTCCCAGAGTGAATATTCACTGCTGATAAAGTGCTGATGTTATTTTCTTTATGTCTTCTCTCAAGTTGCTCATTGCAAACCGAACGCATAATGTTTCCTGTCCTCCACTCTGTTTTTTTCTGTTTGAGTTTGATCTGGGAAGACACTAACACGGCAAACTGATGTTTTCGTGTTGATGCATGTTTAGCGGTGCCGTCACATAATCAGAGAGAATTTTAAGCATTTTTCAGCCTATCCAAAGAGACACATGGCAAGAGAGTTTAGCGTCTCCTTAAAATGTATTTCGGAGAGCAGCATTGGTCCATGCAGGAGGGCCCTGCTGGAACAAGGCTGTGATTTAAGCCTCAGACGTCTCACCTTAAGGCCCGTGTAAGCTCTGCTCAGTGAGGGGGGACTGGCAGGGGGACATGGATATCCATCACCGCTGACAGCTTTACAAACCAAGACAACTGAACAGTTATAGTGCTGACACGAGCTCTCATAAGTCAAACTGAGAAAAATATTCTTTGCTTTTATATGGCTGTCATGTTGTTGCTATGGTCTAATTCTCTGAGCATAGTATTATAGAGACCCATTGTTATTGTACATTTATGTGCTACATGTGGTGATTAAACCAAGCTAATGGAATTATTTTTTCATCATTTTTGACTTTTTTGTCTCACTCATTCAAGGGAATATTTTTTAAAAGCGAGAGTAATCTTGTTCTAATTTTAGCTCATCCTCTTTCTTATTTTGTCCCAGGTGCCACATCCGAGTGATTGACACCTTCGGCACTGAGCCTGCTTACAACCATGAGGAGTACGCCACGCTGCATGGCTACAGAACCAACTGGGGCTACTGGAACCTCCACGGCCAGCAGTACATGACCATGTTCCGTATGTATTCTTCAGGTTCTCTTTGCTCTTAACTGAGGTTGAGGATCTGCTTATGGGAACATGCAGTGTTGTGAAGTGTGCAAGCAGACATGCTTACGCCTCTGTTTATGTGACTGAGAGTGTGAGCAGATTGTGCGATGCTCATAAAGTCCTCAGGCCGTAACGGGCGAGGCTTTGGGTGCACAAACAGAACAGAGAAGTTGTTCAGAACAGCTGTGCCAGTGCAGATGCCTAAAGCCACCTACTGTGACCAAACACCACCAGCCACACACACACACACACACACACACACACACACACACACACACACACACACACACACACACACACACACACACACACACACACACACACACACACACACAGTTACAGCGTATTTGGTGAAATTGGTGGAAAAAGAAACTTCAGCTGTTTCTGTAGCCTCCAATTAATTCAGCGAGAATGGGCAGCCCTGCTGTTTCCAAAATACTTACTGTTATCACAAAGCCCGACACTGTGAAAGATATCAGCTTTCATCTCAGGTTTGAAAATTGCCTGAAATATACTGTTTCTTTTTCGTTCGCCTTACATCTCCGTGCTGTAGTAGGTTTCCTTTTGTGTGAGCTACTATTCATAGTCCCGTTTTGTGTGGAAACTGTTTCACATTAAAGCTCCAATTCAAAACTCTCAGGTACTATAAAACTACAGCAAAGATGACTGAGATGAAACTGTTGCATTTCACTTCATTGTTGGTGCACAATGAAAGCGAACCAACCAGGTGAAGTGAATGCAAATACATGACATTGTTTATTTAAGTGCATTTAAGTTAGCAGTCAAAATATGGGTTTTTAGCACACACTGCCATACAAACTAATGAAATAATTCATCATAAAACACTAGGAATTTCAGCTCTGCACAATCCCACAGTGCTCCTTTTGTTCTGTATTCTCTACATGCACAGCAGTCTGGATCTCCAGAGCAGCTCCTTTAGTTTAATCACATTTTTCCTGAGACATGAAATTGGACTTGTAACGTTGTATTGCCAATTGCTTTGTTTGTCCTTGGCAGCCCACACTCCTGATAACTCTTTTATGGGTTTTGTGGCGGAGGAGCTGAATGAGACGGAGAGACTGAACATTCAACGGAACAAGGTCAACAATATGGCTGTTGTGTACGGCAAAGAAGCCAGCATGTGGAAGGTCAGTAGCACACAATAACCCTTGTAAAAAATGTCAATACATTTTGTAGCATCTTTGTGATCTGTGAGAGGAGATTATTTATTATTAGGATTTATAACGTATTGGTATTGTGTTGTTTTTTTAAGAGTGCTATTATGATTATTGCTATAGCTACAGGTGCCAGTTAATTAGGTACACCTAGCTATAACTGAGTCGGCCTAATACAAAAGTCTGTAATACATTTGTGGTGTTGAATTATATTGTGTTACATTGACAGCTGTTTGTAAAATTAGAAATGTTGTCCACAGCATTTACATAATTAAAGGTAGATTATGTGATCTAATGAACTAGAAACTGAGTGTATTATTACCGTAGAAAGGGATGTGAAATGTAAATTGTTAACAGTTCAGTTTCAAAGGTACCAGCTGAACATGGTTTATAATATTCTTTAAATCCTTACAAGGCAGTGTAGGATTGTTGTTAAAATCTGTATTCAGTTTTGACACCGCCAAAGTATTACTAGAACAATGATTAAGGGCGGAGGTTTTCAAACTGCAAGGCATTCCTCCCCAGGGCAGGAGAGGTGAAAGGGAGACGTGAGGCAAAGATACTGCGGGAAGTGAATTTGAGTCAAAAATCAATACTACTTCTTGGAGTCATAACTGACGTCAAATCTGAACATACACAAACGATACACACATTTTTAGATTCAGTTTGACTTACACCTCCCAAGGATATCATAATCCGATGTCCATCATAAATAAATCCGTAAATCCACTTAGAAATTCTAGAAAAAAGATGCTCCTTATATCCCAGAGCTTGCCTGAGAATCGTCACAATTTTAAGTTTTTTCCAGTAGTAATCAAGTGATAGATCTATATACATCTATGGGTACATGCAAACAGGAACTGCTAATAGCTAATTCAGCCTGATTTAGGGGAATAGAAATGAATGAATGAAACATAGGCAGGTTGGCATGTGTAATAAATTTTTTGCATCCTCTAAATCTGATAAAATCAGGATAAATGTGAAGTTTGGAGAACTTTTGAATATCACTTTTCTAAGCAAACCTTCACAACATATTCTGTGAAACACCCACTAGATATTCCATTTCCTGCAAATAAGTTACTCCTCCAGGAATTTGGCCTGAAGTGTGTTGTTTAGGGTAAATTTTCCCTTCGAGCTACTGGCAAGGTTTCTCACTCTTACTGTATCTTTGAAGTGTGCTACAGCCTCCCCCAAGGTTTGGTTTACTTGAATCTGACTGAAGCTTTGTTCCTACACTGCCATAACACCTCCCTGTTTCTCAGAACAACTGGAGCTGCAATGTAGCATTTGTTGGTCTGAAATATTGCAATGTAAAAGCCAGTGTGTGCAGTGTTGGTCTCTCCAGACAATGAATATCACCTCATTGTGAGCAGTCCTCAGTTTGTGAGAGATTTGGGGTCTGTAAAGGTCCTATGAGAGGAAAAATGACTAATACTTTATGTTGTATTCTCTTTCTCTACATCTGCCTCTCTCTACTCACTGCCCTCCTCCTCATACTGTTCTCACTTTTTTACTATTCTGTATTCATCATCCCATGATGCATCATTGATGGATGCACACAGCTCCAGGTAAGTACATCTGCTTTTCACAGGCATTCTCCAAATTTTAAAACTCAAGACTTTTCCTTGAGTTTTAGTTGATTAAAAATGATGTTAAATGCCTTTCTTTGTCATCAGTGATTTGAAAACATCAGATTTCTACACAGTCAGGGAAGGTAAAAGTGTGCATCCTGCTCATAGTTCAGTTATAAAATCCCAACGCACCACAGAGCATCTCTCCTGCCGGGCTTCTGTCAGCCATGAGTCAATCATAGAAGACGGTGGTAGAGGAAGTTGTCAAAATTGTTCAAAAGTGGTTCAACCAATATCACTGAGAGTCAGCAATGGAGCAGAGAGCGTCAGTGGCAGCCCTATAACCTATAGCCTAACTTATATATTAAAAAATATCAGAGACTTTTTAGTGTCCTCAAATATTTAAAATATCTCCTAACATCTAGATATATTACTAAAAATTTGGACTTCTGTAGCATAGTGGAACATCATATACAATGTTTACTATATTTAAACAAGATTTAAATGAATGAATGAAGTTGGCATTTTAGTCACAATTAATTTTAACTTGTGTAAATCCAATAATGTTTGATTCTCAAAAGAGATTTAGAGTATTACTTTTAGGAAAACAGAGTGATTTCATCTCCATGTTGCTCGAAGACATAAAAATGTCCCAAGATGAAAAATGAGGAATAACACTGTGATGACATTTATAAATGATTTATGCCTTGAAGACATAGCATTAGTGAATAATTCATAAAATTCCCCCAGAAACACTTTTTGAGATAAACTAATTCAGTTTTACGTCAGTGAAATGATTCAAGCAAACCGTCTGCACGGGGAAGCACAGAAGATATACGTTTGGCTTTGATAACGTCACAGGTTGTGATAGTTACCAGTTATCAGAGTGATGATGTTCACGCTAACAAGAACAGACTCACCTCATTAGATCTGCTTTCCTCATTTCAATTAATCAATACTCACTGGTGTGATACTCTTGCTCTCCCCAAAACCTTTGGGCTTTTTTTCCCCGTACCCTTTCAAGAATGCTTGCGTAATACTGATGTATCTATTCAATTCATTTAACTGATCATAGTGGGAAAAACCTCAGTGTGTAAAATAAATAGGAATGAGCTAATAGCTGGCATCCTCAGATATTCTGTCTGTGCAGTCAAATGGGACAAATAATTTAATGTTAATACAATCAGTTTATAAAAACAGACATCATCATGGTGCATGCTGCTCAATAAGACAACATTAGACAACTAAAAGCTCTACAAAGAATCTGCAGGTCAGACAAATATTAGATACAAAAATATGGTAAGATGTGCCAAACACAAAGGGAGCTTAAACTAACCAAGAGGCATATGGTGGATGAATGCCAATGAAGGTGACCCGCCTTTGTTGAAGGGTTTGCGATAATAAATTTGTTACTTCACAGGGGCCCTTTTGAAGCACTTAACTCATTGTCCCTGCCCCTGTGTGTGTGTGTGTGTGTGTGTGTGTGTGTGTGTGTGTGTGTGTGTGTGTGTGTGTGTGTGTGTGTGTGTGTGCGCGTGCGTGTCAAAGGGAAAGGAAAAGTTCCTGGCCATTCTGCATCGCTACATGGAGATCCATGGGACAGTGTACTATGAGACCCAGCGTCCCCCAGAGGTGCCAGCCTTTGTCAAGAACCACGGTCTGCTGCCTCAGCAGGAGCTGCAGCAGCTCCTCAGAAAGGCCAAGGTGGGAAGAACATTACTGAGGCTTTCATGAGCTCAGAAAATGCTTCGATGTTTGCACACACAAAATGAAATGCTTTGATAAAGTTTTTATACAAGTCTTACACAAGTGTTGACCTGGATATGAGCAGCTCGGTGTATAGACTCATGATCTCCTTTTCATTTTTCTGTCAAGCTGTTCATTGGATTTGGCTTCCCCTACGAAGGTCCCGCCCCTTTGGAGGCCATAGCCAATGGTTGCATCTTCCTACAACCCAAGTTTAATCCCCCTCACAGCTCTCTGAACCATGAGTTCTTCAGAGGGAAACCCACCTCCAGGAAGGTAGATGCACTTGTCAGCACTTTCACTAGTTTTACTTGGTGGTTAACAACGTTGGTACAGAATAGTCACACACACACACACACACACACACACACACACACACACACACACACACACACCAACGTACTTAACAACAATCGACCCATTTTAGAATTTGCATTACACAACACAAATAAATATGCTGTCTTTTCAGATCTTGACTTCATTTGTTGTTTTATTGTGATTGTGAGCATTTATTCCTCCCTCAGGTGTCCTCTCAGCATCCGTATGCAGAGCAGTACATTGGCAGGCCGCATGTCATCACTATCGACTTCAATAACTCTGAAGAGTTTGATGCAACCATCCGTGAGATCATGAGGATCAATGTATGTCAAGTTTTTAGTGTTTGTCTTCCAAACTCAGCCCTACTCATTCAAAATAATGTTCTCCTAATATAAGAGTGCACCACAGTACATTTTTCACTGCTGCATAATGACAATAATTATTATTATTTGCTCTCGCACACTTTACAGTCTAGTTTGACCCACTTTTGAAGCCCTCAGCCTTTAATAGAGCTCTTAATCATAGCGCCCGACATTACAGCAAAATGCTTAGCTGGCTGCCTTTCTGCTCGCCGCACTGCTAATTGCTTGAGATATTGAGCGGCTCAGTAGGTAAACTGTGCCCACACCTGGGTTTACATGGCAGCTTTCCAAAGGCCAGCCCCACAGGCAGTGAGCATTATCCGCAGCAGATCATATTAATCAATCACGCTGTGCTCAATCTGTCACCGGAACAACACAGAGCCACGGCCAAGCCTCTTGCAGTGCCAAGATGCATGTGTGCCTCTACCTGCCAGGTGTGTTAAATAGACCTTGTGTTTTCCTGCTGATAGAGGCAAAATGAAGTACCAGTTGTGACTCTGGTAAATGCTTAAAAATTTGATCCTGGGGGAGGGGAAAAGAATAGTAATCACACAGGCTGACTCACTCACTCAGTGACTGGCAAGTTTCACCCTACAATTTTAAAATATTAAAATGAAGAAAATATCTTGACCTGATACCTGAGCCTACATGTAAATTTGATTCAGACCCAGTTGAAAAACAGCACATATCATTTGTCTTATGCAGTAATAGTTGAACTAAGTTTGGACACTAGCACACCTGACTAGTTGTGGAAAATATCAACACACCCAGACAAATTCTTAGTAGTGTATCTCATAGTTAAAAACTAAAAAGATGGGAGGTTATGTGTCCGCCCATTTCATGTCTGGAGTCTCTTCTGGTTGCCTGGCAACGGCTTAGATTTGTCACACTTCGGTTTTTGTATTGATTAAAGAAATAAGCTATAACATGTAAATTAGCAAGCTCTAGAGGTGCAGGTGGGTGGATTTTCCATTTCCAGTCTAAGCTAACTGACTGCTGGCAGTAGCTTAATGTTTACCCTCCAAACATAAAAGTGGCTTTGAGCATCTAACTTTTGATAAGACATCAAATAAGCACATTTCCCAAAACTGTTATTTTAACTTGTATAGTATTTGGATAATAGTAGTATTGTATATTTGATGCAGTGTTTATGTTCTAATATTAAATTGTACATATGTAAATACTTTTCAGCACAGCACAATTTGCCATTTTGACATGAAATAGTAGGGTAAACACAGGTGTTACCAATGATAACAATTATGGTTTTGTTCCACTCAACCAGAGTCAGGGTGCTGCTATAGTGCATGCTGGCTCACTGGTAGTTTACCCTACGTCAAAATGGCTGCTGTGAAAATGTTCGATTACTAGTATGGGTACCATATATTCAAAGCCAGTTCCGCAAATAATGTTTACTCAACACATTTTTGGATAAGGGTTGTTCATAGTGCTGCGGCTCATGTTGTTGATGTTTGAGCTCAAGAGCTGCCTGCTCATCTCAAACACTGTTGCCTCAGATTTTAATGGCACCATGGCAACAGTGTATGATGGAAATGAGGAAACAGGCAGCTGATAAAGAAGCACTAAAATGTCTGTGACACCTGCCCCATCTCACCCGCCAGCTAGGTTTGCGTGCCTTTTTGTGGACATGGTTGCACCCAGCAGAACTCACTTCAGGAATTTTATGTCACTGATGACAGCATGAAATGATGAATGTTGCTCACATATTTTTGTGGCCGAGCAATGCAATCAGTTTAGGTATATAGATTGCACAGTCATTTTAGAAATGTTTTCCACTGCTGAATTCAAATCGCCTTCTATGACGATTTTTTTTTTCCTTCTCTCTCTGATTCTATTATATAAAGATGCCCAAAAGGCAAATTGCATTGTGGAATAGCTGATGAAGTGCCAGATACATTTCATTAAACTCAGATGAAATAAAGTAATAAGAGAGTGCTAAAAGGAACACAACACTAAAAGGAACCATTTATCAATTTAAAAGCCTGAGTGCTTTAGTGGCCTGATAGTAAACAATGAGATCTCACTTTAGCTACCAGAGGAGACATTCAGAGGGGATTCTTCACTGGAAATCCTGACAGGATGTATCCTATCCTGATATATTTCATAATTATGTATTCAATCAAACCACAAATAGGTTTCAAAATACAGTTATTAATATAAACCTGTCCCTTCCTGTCACCGCTATGTTCTCTATGAGGCTGTTAGCATAAAATACTGTGCAGATGAGAAGATATTGATCAGTGCTCTCTCAGTGAATTATAATCAATTTCCTGCCATCAAAAGTCAGACAATAAGTGACAGGCCTCAACAGTGATGCTGATAACTGCACCCAAAGGACCCACAATGCACAAAAACAGAAGCCTCCTCAGTGCTGGATGACCAGTGGTCCGATGTCAGTTTAATCCATTGTTTGACATATTGATGTTGTCATCACTAAAAATAATGAAATCAATTTTCAAAGCTGTCACCTGTGATGTATTAGGTCATTGATTTTAATGTGTGGCTTGTGGCATGATATAAGCCATTCACAATTACGCTAATGAATATGTCAGCTTTGATTAACTATCAGATGCTCGGTTCCTGTAATTACAATGGCTTGGTTCTGTGGACACACACCCTTTCTCTCTCTCTGCCCCACCTACTGTTTCTTCATCTGCGTGCACATCTGTGTTTGCAGGTGGAGCCATTCCTGCCCTACGAGTACACCTGTGAGGGGATGCTTGAAAGAGTTCATGCGTACATTCAGAACCAGGTGGGTCTTAAAACTCAACCCAGATCAGCGGGCATGCTGGTTAGGGTCGTAAATGAAGAGAAGTTATTTGTAGGTGCAAATGTTGCCTTCCGGCAGATGGGGTCGGTCACAGTTTGGTGGTGTGAATAGAACTTAGAAATAGATGTAGAATGTGAGCTGGAACCACAAGATTTATTCTGCACCCTTGAGTAACCTGTGTTTATAATAGACCAGTGCAGTGCAGGAGTTTGTGACTGAAATTATTACAGCTTAGCTCATAAATAATATCACTAGATTACCATTGTAATCATTGCTACAAAGTGTAGTTAACATTAAAAGGAATGGTCTACTGATTTTACCCATCAAACTCAGTTTATTCATCATGAGGAGCACTACTCGCCTGTAGGATCCAGTGTTTTTGGAGCTTGACTCATAATTTTGGCTAAGTCAAAATACCCTGGGTCTCAGATTTACTTTGCAGAACTTTTTGTCCTTGAGGTCTGACAACTGTGTTGAATGTGTGAACTGTTTCATGCAGACATTAAGAGTTCATGTAAAGTAATGCATTAAAAAAAAAAAAAAAGTCAGAATTGTTTATTGCCAAGTAGGTTTTTACACCTACGAGGAATGCATTTGTTTTGTTTTGTTCAATTTACTTAAGATGTGAGGTAAACGGTTGCCATAAAAAAAAAAACGAAAATTTTAAACACTTGTTTAAAAAGGGTTGGAATTGGTATTTGAAGTTGAATACATTAAAAGCCAAATTATTTGTCCTTAATGTCTGCAGTGAAATCCACCATTCCCCACCCTACTTGCATTTGCAAACAATAAATCTTCCTTACGACAGTGGGTGCCACAACCATACAGGGATGACCGCTTTGTCCTTTAGCAACACAACACTATTGGCTACCGTGATAAGTCCCCCCCCAGCTGCCGGTTTTTACAGGAAATAAGCAAATAGCACCTTTTCACATTTCCTGTAGACTTTAAAAGGTGTTCTTGCTTCCTTCCTTGGACTCTTGCTTGTGTGGGCCAGACACTTCAGGTGCAACTGCTCGGACACATGGCCTTCTTACCAAACTGACATTTCCAACCACCTACAGTGTCCCCATTTCAAGGATGGGTCTTGATGGGTGTAAATGCAATACTAGGACAGGATATGAATGTGGGAAGTAGGCATAACATAGCAAGTGTGGCAAGGGCAGTTAGGGGAGAAAGGGGAAAAGACCTGGGGAATTCCACCACAGGAAATTAAATGTTGTTTGGCTAATTAATGAAGGCACACAGGCTCTTATTTGATTAAAAATACTTGGTTAATCCAAAAAAAAAAAAAAAAAAAAAAAAAAAAACACCCCAATAAAATATTTTAACTATTAGTAAAAAATAAATAAAAATCAGTCCAACCTAAAGTAACCAAAACTAAAAAGGAGTGTGCACTTAGGCCACTTTTGGAGAGGCAGACTACACTAAGGAGGGCCCAGGGGTGCTACCTCTAATTCACCTTCAGTGCAACACAGCAATCCTCACAACAAACAGGCGCAGTCTACAAATGTGTCCCCATGCTCTTACTCACATGAATCAAGAGCAGGGATCTCACCACGAGTGCCTAGCCTCACCACAATACGGTCCTCAAAAACAATTACCAACAAATAACCACCCACTTGGTCAACAAAATAAATCAGCAAACAAACTAAATGTAAGAATGAGCACAACAGGCTAAATGAGCACAACAAACTTAACTTATGAGCAAGCACAACAAATTAGGCTTCTGAGCAAAACAGCAGTAATCAGATGAGCCTATAAATAAAAACGAGAATGAAAGAGGCTCACCAGATTACATACAATACATTTCCTTTTTTAATGTTAACCCTGCTCACCACCTCTGGTTCAACAGGTGGGGAAGGCCACAAACAGACCAGCAGAGAATCCCAAACAAAGAGCAGTCTGAAATATAGAAAAGCTGACTCAATTGACAGAATGGGTCTCTAAAAAAGCTGGAGCACCTAACAACCACAGCAGAGACCAGGGCTGCGTTTCATTAGTAGTTCCACTTCCCTCGTTCACTTCCCCTCAGCCCTTGGTATAACGTAACAGCATACGTCGCACGGAGGCCACTTGGAGCGCGGAGGGAAAGTGGGCGGGGGAGGAGCGGGGGATTTAAATGAAACGCACTTGCCCTTACTCTGCGTTATAGCGGCAATGACGTTAACTGCAATGCATTGTGGGTGATATCCACCTCGGAGTGACCATCGTTGTTCACTCGCTTCCTCAGCCCTCCGAGGGTCCATCTCACCAAGTTCAATTCAGTTTTCCAGACAATTGGAACGACATTTATGATGGAGGCGGGGATTCCCCCGAGGGCAAGTGCCGAGGGCAAGTGAACGAGGGCGTGTTGAACGACTAATGAAACGCAGCCTATATCAGAGCCAAAAGGAAGGAGCGTCAGCCAGCAGGTGGCTTATATAACCTGACCTGATTAGGAGGTTGGCTGGGGGAGGAGTCAGGGATGGGGCTGCAGACACTAGACACAGATATTCCCCCACCACACATGTATCCCTCTGCTCATTAGCTCAGTCTTTATTGCGAGGCGTCTCAGCTTCATTGTTGACAGAGGGCTAAATTGGCTCTTTTCTGAGGCCCGGACTACTCTGGAGGGGCTTGGTGTTGGTGCATGATGGATCCATGTTCCTGAGCCAGTCTATTCCCCTTTTAAGTCTGTCTGAAGCATTTTTTGTTGTTTATCGTTTGTCCAATCTTTTTCTCACTCAAAGTCTGATACTTGAACTTGAATCTTTTGTCCCCCTGCCCTGCTTACCTTGAAGGTTGTTTTTTTCCGTCAAATGTGAGGTGATGACCGTATTCACATCAGCCTACGTTTGGAGGAATTTAAACAAAAGTTTTCACAAGTTCAAAGAAGTGTTGGATGGATAATAGATAATAACTGAAGAACTAAAACAGCTATTGGATTTTTGCACAAGGTCTTCTCCGTAAAGCATATATATGCGAATTGATCTGAATTCAGTGAATATACTGAACTTCTATTTTCTGGGCTTTCTCAGTCGCTAGACCTCAATATTAATTCCTCGGCTACACAGCTTGGGTCAGCTATTAAAGCCCGTGGAGGCGCCAGCTGCAAGCTTAATAAACTAGCACGGTGACTAATTTTTCAATGATGGTCCTCATGGACGGCGATGAAAGAGAGATATAACGCTCATACATAAACATAGACCTGTTATCCAATCTCTAACACACATCAAAACGGGAATTAATCAATAATAGTAAAAATAATCAAGACATGATGTTGTTGTGTATTTTACTGTAATCCAGGGTATAAACACTCCAAACACGCACACATTTACTGTATATTTACATGCATTGTTGTCCTCTGGTACATCTATCATGCTGGGATGTTGGTATAGTGTCTGGCAGTGGCAGGTTAAGGAAATGTGTTAGCCTCTGCTCTGCTCTGACACCATCTCTTCCTCGGCTGTCAGCCACACACACACACACACACACACACACACACACACACACACTCAACATGCCGTGACCGACTGAGACTGTGACTGCCCGCCTGCCGTGTACTAGGTCAGACTCCCAATCAGACTCTCTTTCTCTTTCTTTTCTCCCACTTTTCTTAACCTTTTTCTTTCTCCGTGTAGAGACTTTTCCAATTTTATTTCCAACTTAAGTCACTCACACACTCGTTTATTCCTATCTTCCGACTGAATCTCTCATCCTCGTTATCTCTCACCTCTGTCCCCTGGCAGAGCTCCAGTCCCACTGTGACCCTCGTATGATATACTGGCAGCTGAGTCTCTTTCACTATTAATATTGTCTGTATGATGCCATGTACACCCAAGCACACATAATGTATTTCACTCTTTTCCTTGCCCCCATTATTTATTTTATTGTATACTTGTGGAGAAAGCATTCGAAAAATTACTTGAATTACATTTTTTTTTATTTAACAGAAGAGATATACAGGTGGACACACACATTTAGAAAGAAACGAGACAGAGCCGTTTGTTAACTTTGTGGTTGCTTAACTGCAGTTATTGTTGTTATTAAAAAAAACAATTGGTGAGGATTGTTTCATGTAAGGGGCTATGGGATCATCCATCAAGACAAGATAAATGTGAGATACTTGATTGGCTGGACATGAAACCTGCTGATGATGTCCTCATCCCCCAGTATATGACAGATCATTAATGGCTGCAGTGAAATGGGATGAATGCTAAAAGTCTATGTAAAAGCTCAATTAATGAAATGGATGTATTTGTTTGTATAAGTCTTTGGTGTAAATACTGAAATAAATGGTGGCTGAATTGCCTTCAGTTGCTTGAGTTTCAGGGTCCTGGTATTGTTCATGCTGGCTCACTGTCATGACTTACTGGGACACTTGAATAGAGCAGAGCCATTGTTAACGTTATAAGAAACACGTGTGCTTGTCCTTGCGTTAAAGATTTAGTTCTGATTATTGGTCTTATTGACAAAGTTTGGGCCATCAAATTTGATGTATTCTCACAACACTTGCCTCACCACCTTAAGAGTGAGATCTGGGAATGCAACAACGTCACTAGAACTGAGTCCAGTAGGACGGCAATACAGTTAGTCAGACGATCACACAGGCTGTAAATAGCAAGTAGTGACATGAGGAAGTGACAAGGTCTCATGTATGGTTAAGACAGTTTAGTTATAACCTTTGCCTGCATGTTCTCTTCTAATTAAGCACATAATATGTATAGTGCATGACATGGTTCTTTCCAGCATGTGTGATCCTCTGACTGCACGTTTTGCTCGTCCAGACTCAAATATTACCATCGATTCTACAAAAACTAAGACTGAGGTTAATTTCTGATTTTCTTCCATGTTCTCTATGTGCAGAATTGGACATTTTCTGACTTTGATGACTCATACAGTATCAAAAAGACATGACTTAAGGTTGCTATAATCACACAAGGTTTAATGCTTAAATACGTGAGTACCTTGTCAACAGTCACAATTATTAAAAGAGAAAATAATACTTATTATTGCATGCACACATAGAAAATACACTGTTTGGTTGATTAAAAACCAAAAAATTAATTACAATATCTGTATCTTAACCTTGCCTGTTTCCATACCTTTAAATTCTGCACTCTGTGTGTGTGTCACGGATGTTGACTGTGTTTAGGAGTGAAACTGAGCAGAGATGGAGAGATTGGAAGCCTAGTTATTGCCTGCGGGCACTAGGAGCCTGTTTAATAAACGGGTCTGGAGGCCAGTGGGACATGTCAGAGAAATGTTATTACCTGGGTCTTATGAATAGCCCCAGCTGGAGGGGGAATCTAATCAGGGCTCTCACCAGAGCCTAATTCTGCCTCCAGACCTCATTTGTTATTGGGTGGCATAACTGCATTCATATAATTTCCTGGAAGATTGACGAGGAGTTGTCAGTTCTGATAAACACCTTTTGTACTGTAGCGGTTCTTTTATTATTTCCTGTATCAGCTGTCCAGAAGTTGTATATTTTGCTGAATGTATAATTTGTCACTGCTCTGTTGTGGTGTATAGTATTTATTTTAGCTGACAGGTCAAAGTGTTGCAATATAACCCCAAAAATATAACTGATCTGAGTCATTTTATCTTCGTACCTGCAGGACTTTTGTTCCCCTGAAGCTCCGTTTCCTCCGGTAAACTCATCTGGCGCTTGGCTGGGCAGCCCTCCCAGTCCTTTCATCCTCCTGCCTAATTCCAGCATCCTAACCTGGGCCCCCAATGCCAGCTACTACACATCCTGGCCACCCCTCAGCGCATTGCGGCTTTTGGCTTCGCTGGAGGGCCAGTCGTGTGTGAAGGCGTGCCAGAATGCAGGACTAATCTGCGAACCCGCCTTGTATCGTTTCATCAACATTAAGGAGGCCTTCAGCGCGTAAGATGTTTCTTCATTGGGATCATTAGTCAAATGATCATGCACAATTTGGCCCCAAAACAATTTTGATGTTTTAATTGGTTCCTATTGGCACATGGTTATGGAAAGACAACACGTTTCAGTTAAATGTGCAGATAAATGTTTTTAACAAAAAACAAATCTTCGTACATTTTAATGCGAAGGTACTTTTATCTCCATGATTGTGACTGCCTTCTTTCAATACAAAAGTTAAACTGTGTTCTTGCCCAGCGCACGTTCCACGTTATTGATTATGTTGTGAAACGCCTCGTCAGGGCCTTCTTGAAATTGTAAAAATGGATCTCATGGAGCTCATCCTGCAATGATAATAAATTTGACTAACCACCACACAGTGTCATGCCTCAGTGCTGTAAATATATTAGTGGAATAATCATTAATACCCTCTGGCACTCTTGCTAACATTATTATTAAATATGTTAGTGTAATAATCATTAACGCCCTTAAAACCTTGTTTTCCAGACTGGACTTCCAGTGTGAGGGATTGGAGTCCGAGATGAACCACCTCTTCCCTGCCTTCTCAGCAGAGCATGCTGAGTGTGGCCTGCAGCAGGACCCGCTGCTGTTCAGCTGCGCCGGCTCAAGCGCCAAATACCAGCGCCTTTGCCCCTGCAGGGACTATCGTAACGGCCAGGTGGCGCTGTGCAGAGACTGCCTATGACCAGAGGAGGACCTGTGGACTGTGGAGACCCTTTTCTAAGGCAAGATCCTGGTTGTCCCATGGGACTCTCTTGAAAAGGAGATCCTGTGGTGAAATAATGTTAAGGCAAACAGTGACTCTGCTCCCTTACCTCCGACTAAGGACTGGCTGCCAAAGTAGGTAAGATGGTATTACCTCTCAGGGAACTGCATGATTGTACTTTGAATTTGGTGGGTTTAAGGGCCTCAGCTTAAAGGTTTACATGGCTGCATTTGGACCACAGTCTTTACAAAAGTGATGATGAAATGTGTCATTTGATGGCTCAGTTAGATTAGTAAAGAAAACATGAGCAATTAAAAGGAAAGCTTTGCTCAAAAAATGTTTCAAATGCTTGAATTTCACAAGTGTTTACTCAGTGTTGTGTGAATACGTACAGTATCGTAGTGGAGTTTGGATATTTGTACTAGATGCACCCAAAGCCATTTACACCATGTTGAGATGTACTATTTTACATGTCCTGTAATGAATATATTTGTACATAAGTGTTGTTTAATAAAACAAAGGAGGGAAAAGGTGTTGCCATTATTTATAATAAGAAATGGGTGGAAATGATTATAATTAATTTTCTTTTAAAAAAGTAGGACCCCATTAAATTATAAGATATCATCAATCTTTTATGGACGATTTCACAAAGCCAAGTGTGGGGAAATATCCTAATTACTTCTTTCAGCCTGTGATTTATATGCAAACGGTACTGGCTCACACTCATCCATTTATAAAGCAGTCTTTGGATACATGATGACAATAGTGTTTGGGTTTCCAGAAGTCTGTAGATTCCTGCATCAGTGCTTTGGATTTTTTTGGGCTATACAGTCTTCTACAGCAGCGTTTGTTTTTTTTTGATCCCTTACAGAAACCCACACTGTGTTCTCTTTTCTAGATAAAGATGTACTTTTTTAGCAGCAGAACCAGCTGTGAAAATTACAGACATCAACCCTCTATACAGAGATGAGCTGCAGCACTGCTATACAGTGACTGGTAGCAGCAGATAAACAGCTTTCTCAGCCAAATAACTGCATTATTTTGGTATAGCATATTACTGTTGGCAGGCAGATGGGGGCAAAGGGTTTAAACTATAGGTTTTTTCAAGTAAGTCTTAACAACTCATGGCTGAAAGTGATGGGGGACAAAATCCACAGTCCTCTTCGAAACTTGAGCTGAAGCTTATATAATGAAAAAAATAATTTTAGAATTATTACCTTATTATTTTGTGTATTGTTATATATATATTTTTTTCCTCTCACCCTCTTGGGGTGGTATCTGTGTGTCATCCTCAAGCTCGGGTCCTCTACCAGAGGCCTGGGAGTTTGACAGTTCTGCGCAGTATCTTAGCTGTTCCTAGTAAATGAGAAGGACATCTTCCAACCTTTCCAGCTGAAAAAAGTCCACCTCAATGTTTCCCCAGAGTGTTTTCTCGCTGCACTGCTGCAGAGGGACAGTGACACATAGAGGGAATTCTGCACTAATAAAACGGTACCTTTAACTTTGCAAGATACGTACTTGATTAGTCTAACTCAGACTGCTGAAGCCTCATTTCAGCCTTAGCTGACCTTTACGATACATTTCTGCAGAAAATATGACTCTGGATTTTGTACACTATCTTATGGCTGAATTGTGTTCAACAGCATGGTGTCCACCAGTTATCGTGCATCATGTAGTTAAAGGCACATTGAAAAAGACAAGATTTTCCACCAGATTTTCTCCCAGAGATGTTTTTACCCGCTTGAGGCAAAAAAGATTTATTATGAGACCGTGTTGGAAATATTTTTACAGATAACGTGTTAAAAAAAAACAAGCAACTGGACTCAAAAGCATGACTCAGAAACACAGTTTTTGGTGGAAAAATTCAATGTCTTTACTTGCCAAAAAAGGGTTTGGTACACAGGTAATCAGAGTTCAGCAAACAATCCAGTACAGGAGATGCAAGGCAGAGATAGGAAAGATGGAGGCAGAGAATCAAAAAACTGGAAATTAACTAGACACAAGAAGAGCAAAGGCTGGATCACTAGACACTAAAGTACTGAGAAAAAGCTTGAGTGACGAGGATTCCTAAGAGAAAAGTGAATTCTCTCACACGCTCATCACCTCTGCATTGATTTATTAAAAAGTCGACGTTTCATTAACATGGACATATCAAACATGAGGAGCAAGTGAGCAGCCCATAATAGAATGATTGTTCACAGCTATCCTCGAGATGTGTCCATGATCACATACAACACACTGTCAAAGCATACAATACACACAATATCTACACTCCTGATGCTGATGATAACTTAATATATATAAAAGACAGTTCATACTACATAAATGGGTTCTTATAACTTTATATATTACAGAGTGAAGAGGACACACACATTAAAAACTCTAGTGAGGGGGAATAGGGAGACACAGGTGAAACCGATTGGGGGCGGAGCAAAACAAATGGAGGGAAACACACAGGCAGGAAGTGAAGTGGTCTGAAATGAGAGAGGAGGTAAGTGTGACATAAAGGCTATAAAATATCTACTGTTGCTCCCCCAGGCAGGTGAGGGTTTTTTTTATTTTTTATTGTGGGGTGGGGTTCCATTTAGATCTTTATTGGGAATGGATTTTCAGTACTAATTTTGAAGGCACTACATTCCCCCAGGTCCTTGAAATGGCTTTTTTACTTACTTTTCACCTTCAGTGTAATAAAGAAATATAGGAGAATTCCCTCCATGTCTGTGAACTAGTGGATGTATAGTGGATCTCTCACATGTTTTGACAGTATTAATAAGCAGGTAAAGTTTAATGTTGCTCCAGTTTCCCACTCAGAATGTACAGTCATGTTTTTTGTTTATTTCAATTTTGCCACATTTCTTGATCATCAGTAGCGAACCGGATGGTAACATGTTATAATAATAATAACAAAATAATTAATACTTGAAAGTCAAACAGGAGACATCCTCCAGATGTCATGTGGCCAATTTATTCAAACAACACTTATTATTATTATTATTATTTTAAAATCATATACCCAATCAAGTCATGCTTTCTATCTCAATGGGGTATTTACTGGTCTCAGTCGCAACTTAAAATACTGAAGATTCTTCAACAGGAAGCACTGTACTCACTCATAACGTACATATGAACTGTATACTTTGTTTTATAACTGAAACCTTCCAGTTTAATTTCCACTGTAATCCATTTCTCTCTCCTCTTTGGCTTTGTTTGTGTGGGCTTCATGAATGAAACCATTAAGTGAAGCAGAGCACTCAGGGCTATTTTAAATCACCTTTACAGATGGACATTATAATATGCAGAGAAATGCTGCAATGTCACTAAAGTCATTATCACGAGCGCTGCTGCTCCACTGAAGCTGAAACCCCTCCACTACGATAAGAGGATTTTAATGAGAGATCCTCAAAAGACAGAGTTGGAATTTGCCAGTTTTCATTTAATGATGGGGTTAGTGTCTCTTTGACTGATAGTAAGGACCATTTCACAATATGCCTATTTCTCCTCTCCGATTTATAATCTCTGAACTAATATTGAACTTTCTCTTTGCAGTAGTCTGAAAAGCTCTGAATCTTTTAGGGCTTTTATGGTGAGAATTCAGGTGTTGGACAATAACCTCTGAGACTTAAAGAAATAATATAAATACACCACTTCAGAGTTTTCAGAAATGGTATTCTTCTGAGCTTAACTAACAGTGCTGCACCCAAGTACTTTGCTTTTCAGCACTGAGAAAAAAAGCTCTCTTCTCTTTCTGTTTTTCACCACTTTTTCTCAGTCAAGACAGAACTGCAGTAAGAAACCAGTCGATACTGCATAAACCACACAATGATGGTGTTACATCTTGCAGATAAAATGTGGGTTTCGTGCTGAACAACCTGTTGACTTCGTCCTCAGACAGATACTCCACACACCCTGCTGTGGATCACTCTGGGACTCTGTGTGCCAGAAAGACTGCGTGTGAGCTCGGAGCTCAGCGCCAACTATTTCAGGTAACAGAGTGAACTGAAGTGGAAGAAAAGTTTATTATGGGACCCTTTTATCCTGCTAGCTGTGGAAAATCTTCGCTGGCCAAAAGATAACAACATTACACAAATAAAGTTTCACAGGACAATATGTGTACACACACGTTTCACATGCTTGCTTTAAAGGAGTGATTCTATGTGCTGGACAAAACTCAGCTGGTGAAAGTGCGGTGTTTTACAGTGTGTCAGGAGAGAATGTTTTTCTGTAACCAAATTTAATTTAATACTTATGGCCGGTTTATCCCCGCAGGTGCTGCAATTATACCTTATTATCACAGACTTTTGGGGTATTGCAGCTATACTTATTTCATCTCTGAAACGTCTAAAATACCTTCTGCTGTATGAGTGTGAGATGTGTTTTAGTCATCAACAACAATCATCAGACAACTATTAGATGGACTGCCATAAACTTTTATATTCAAGAAGATTAATCCATATGGTGAATCCTTTGGCAACTATTGGACAGATTGTCATGAAATGTGCTACGGTCATTAATGTTCCCTTTGGTGACTCCACCATCTGGCCAAAATTTACTTTGGCTTACATACTTGGCCAATTAATATGTAACATTTCCGCATTAAAATGTAGAAAAAAAACTAGACCTATGTTATGAGTGTACTTACATTGTCCCAGATGTTTCCAACAATGTTCAAACCCAGAGAAATTTGTAATTTTATTCAGTTAACAGTGCGTTCCACCAATCACCTGTCAATGGGATCATTTGTCTTTTGCGCAGGCGTCAGCGTTGTGGTAGCTGTCATAAACTGTCTTGTTCTCTTGTTTTAAGCCACATTTTTATGATGCACTTTAAGGTTTTCTTTTTAGTTATCGGACTTCGGGATCTTAAATAGACCTTTGCGGATGATGAGCAATGAACACTGAAAGAATCCTAACTGGATCCTAACATATTTATATTAGTCCCTCAATTTGCATAATGAAAACTCCCCAACCTTTAGCTGAACCCTTGTGGTGACTGTCAAAGTCTCAGAGCCTTATTACATTCTATACCACCTTAACCTAACCATACCAAGCAAAAACATGTAGCCATGATAATTGATATATTATTAGTGAAAAGAAAGTGGGTTTCAAAACTGAAAACTAAGTTTGCAATGCCAGGAGCCAGTGTTCTTTGTGGAGGAGGATGTTTGTGTTGTCTTTAATGATAAGTCTTCATTCTGTAAAAAAAAAAAAAAAAGGCTTACAGGGAAGAAAACACAATGGAAGACAAAATGAAAGAACAGCTTTCAGGTCCAACTTTGACCCACCGTACTTATAGTAGTTGTGTGCAAGCACAGCAACATGCAACATTTTGCATGTGCTCGCGATCTTTTTGACCTCCAAAAAAGTTAGTTAAAAACATTTTGTTGCCGCGATTTTTCTACAGTTCCCAGATCTCAGTAATTCTTTTCTGTGAGCACTATTTTATCATTACTGATAGAAATAATGACCAAAAGTACTAAATAAGCTGCAGATTGTATTCTTTCTATCTGCTAACAGAATAATAATTGTTTTCA